TGACTGACTGACTGACTGACTGATTGACTGACTGACTGACTGATTGACTGACTGACTGACTGATTGATTGACTGAGTGACTGATTGACTGAGTGACTGATTGACTGACTGACTTACTGATGATTGACTGACTGATGACTGACAGATTGACTGACTGACTGACTCACTGACTGATTGATGGACTGACTGACTGACTGATTGACTGACTGACTGATTGACTGACTGACTGATTGACTGACTGACTGACAGACGGACTGGCTAACTGCCTGACTGATTAACTGTTTGACTCCATGAATGACTGACTGATAGCCAACCTGCCTGCTTGACTCACTGTCTACCTGGCTGACTGATTAAGTTTGAGTGTCTGATCAACTAACTAGTCATTTTCATAACGGATCATGGAATTGGTTCCTCCTACGGTCAAACTCGTTACAAACAGATTTGACATGATTTATCTCTCTGGTCATCTATTTGCGATGAATTTAATTTATTGGAGGTCTAGTACATCTGTTTTGGAGACAGTAGCTACAAAGGGGAGGAGGGGAGGGGGGTTGAAAAGCAAAGAATCTCTTTTAATATATTTCCATTCGAACTGGTGGATGCTATGTACCAGGGAAAAATTGTTTCCATTTGTCATTCGTAGCTCAAAAACGTTTGTGTTTAAGCTAAGTCCTTGGTGCTCCAAAGTTCTCGCCATTAAGGTGGTTCAAATTATCATCTGAAGTGCACCGTGGTTCGGATCTAACTGCAAAGATGTTCGAAAATGTTTTGCATTAAGATGTCTTGACAAGCAGATTGGAAGTAGATAACGATACCATCCTGGGGTAATGTGATTCATTTTGTGTTACAAACACATTGTTAACGTAGTCAGTGAACTATGATAAGAATTTTTGGTTACGGAACTTCCGGTAGTTTCTTACACGCCCTAAAACAGGAAGCGTGAACTATTATGTTTAGCTTAGATTAAGTAGTTTAGTTTTAACCCAAGATCTGTATTGGACACGTTCACCGTAATTGACTGCTTACCTGCAACTCAGTTTTATGACTAGCTTGATCAAGGAAGGTTAGGAAAACTCACCTTAGAAGTAAGTTTGTGAACATTGTTCTTACTTGTGTTGTCAATGATTTCAGTTTGTTAGTATAGAACTTATATAAGCTTTTGAACAATGAGGACACTGAGGAATCGACCACATGGCACGATAATTGTTACATCTCAGTTTTTTCGTTTCACTTGGTTTAATTGTTTCGTTTTTCTTATCAATTGATTTACTTAAGTAGATTATACTGTATATTTTGATTTAATATCGAATAAACACAGCATGTGCTGCGCATGCCTTCAGCAGCTTTACCACGAGTTGCCCTCAGATGGACCCCTGATGGTCGTAGGAAGAGAGGCAGGTCGAAAGAAACATGGAGGAGGACAGTGGAGAAAGAGATGAAGGAAAACAGCTGGACATGGGGTCACCTGGAACGACAAGCACCCGACAGAAGCGAATGGCGCTCTTTGGCCGAGGCCTTATGTGTTTCACAACACGAAGAGAATTAAATAAGTAAGTAAACACAGCAAACACAATTATAATCAGTTATACGATTTGCGAGTATTCTTCGGTAGTGGATCGTCTTGATTTTCTTGCGAAACACACATAGCAGCTAAAAATTCAAGAGTGCCAAGAGCCTATAGTGTTGCTGTGGTAACTTATTCGGTCAAAACTTGTTCAGAAATTATGGGGATTCTCTTTAATAACCTTTTCAAGGAAATTAAGGAAGACTTATGTTCATGTCGATTTATCGACGACTTGGTGTTTTGACCGTTTTGATCTCTCCTGCCTCCTCCACCTGAAATTATGCATTCACCTATAAAGAGTTATAATTGTATTTTATGTGAGTTTTAGACTTCGTATTTCCAATATAACCGACTCTCCTTCCTCTTACAACAGACAGATATTGAGCTCAGGAAAGGATGGAAAGAAGCAAAACTTAGGCGGGGGAAATAAAGATGAAGATGCAAAGAACCTCAAGAGAAACGGATGGATGAGAACCTTTCCTATCAAGGTGAGTTGGTTGCTTCGTAGCTTTAGTAACCTAATCTAAATATGATATTTTCACGAGGGGTAACCCGGCCGTGCATGCAGATTGCTTTCTCTACCGTGCAGTGTTTGGCAAGATGTAACTTTTAGATCTGTTTTTGGGCCCAAAATTGGCTGAGAATAACACCCCCGAAATTCAAACCAAAAGAGACAAATATTTGTTACGAAAGAAAGTCGAGAATGCCTGGTTCACCAGTCATCTTTATGGTTTGCTTTGCCGTATAAGTCATGCAAAACCTTTCAAATGTTAAAATTGTTCTTTGCTAGGCAGAAGGAATTCATTATTTTTCTTTTAATGTTGAATGGATGACACGCTACACCGGAAAAATCAGTGTCAAACTCTAGAATACAGAGTACTGCAGGCGGAGAAGTAAAACTTTTGAAGGCTGTTTTTTACCATAAATCAGCCACCATATGTGTAAGCATTTTTGTCATAGAGAATTTTTCGTACATTTTTGACCTCATGGATATGGCTCTCAAGAAAATTTAGCTTTCCTGTTTTGTATGGATTGTAATTCATAGAAATTCGTCCAAATATACGAATTTGTTTTTACCCGCACAGGTCTAAATTCGCACATACTGTGGCAGAAATCCTTTTCAATTCATCATGTTAATTCATTTTAAGTAAGGAAACAAAACAAATCAATTGTCCAAAAAAAAAAAGAAAAAAAAAAAAGAAAGGATGCGCAATGGACAGTGTACCAAAGAGTCCAACTCATTTTGAAAAAAATTCCTTTGAAAATTTTCGTCACTCATGCAGTCTGGGTTAAAATGAAGCAAAACAAATACGTGAAAATGCTTTTATTGTTTTTGGCGGGTACTTGTTCACAGTATTGAACATTTAAAATTCCAACTTGTTTGGTAAAATATTTGAAAAAAATACATTATCAAAATTCTATAACTGAACGCCGTCTAAATTCTGCACAATCTAATTCACATCTAGGGGTATCAAATGGTCCCATTCAATTTAAAAGTGCTCGCAAAATTTGGCATTTGCTCGAATTGCTCGTAGAAATTACACGGGTGCTCGCTTGCTCGGGCTCGCAAAATTTTCGCAACTGCTCGCATTCTCTTTAACATGTGCTCGATTGCTCGAAATTTTGTTAATCCTGCTTTGTAGTTTTTTTTATACATATATAAACGATAAATCAGTTATGGTTTAAAACATTTATGATTTTTGGTTAAAACCAAAAGGTTGAAGCATCGTTTCCCCTGGCTTCAGTCTTTCTTCAACAGTTCAGCCTGTAACTGTTTTGGAGGCGCTGTATGTATTATCGAGAAAACGCACGAAGCTTCATGACAACTGAGCATTTCGTTTATTGGTTTAATTTTTATCATATTTCATCGTCGCAGGCTTTCTGCTTGAGAGGGGTACAGTTCCGCAGTTCAAATATGTGATCTCAGTTTCAAACCAGCTCCCAGTTGGCTTGATAGCTCAGTTAGTAGAGTACTGCACCGGTATCGCACAGGTCATAGCTTCTGGTCCCGTTTAGACCTGAATTTTTTTTCAGGCTTTAATTTCACAGCTACTTAAGTTGTGTGTATAACTTCCGGAATCAATCGTGTTCATAGAAGCAGGGTCAGTTAGCCTGCAGTGCCGGGGTATTTTGGGTGCATGAGTGCACATTTTCGTATTAGGTCGCGATCTTAGATTTAGTATCTGTGGAGGATTGGGGCGAGGAAATATTTGCCGAGGGAGTAGGTGTTAAGTGGAAAAATGGCCAACGGGGGAGAGGGAGGGGAAGTATTTTTCCTTCCCCTCCCTCTCCCCCGTTGTCCATTTTTTTACTTAACACCTACTCCCTCGGCAAATATTTCCTCGCCCCAATCCTCCACAGTTACTAAATCTGAGATGGCGACCTAATACGAAAATGTGCACTCATGCGCCCAAAATACACCGGCACTGCAGGCTAAGGGTCATTTTGTAGAGCTCCTTTAAACAATACTGCTTGACGTTGAAAGCTGGTTTTGCTTTTTCCCTCGGTAGATTTGCTTTCATTGCTTTAAGCTAGTCTTATAATCGTTGTTTCTTTGACCGGTTTCCTCGGTATTTTACCCAATGACTTAAACCCTCTTTTGCTTAAACAAGAAAACGTGACTGTAACACGATCAATTTACCAGGAAATTCTGATATGGTTAATAGGAAGCTCAACGTGATGGGAG